TAAAAACCCCGAAATGTCAATATTTAAGGAGTTATGGCCATTTTAAAGTTTGCTATTTTTCCTCTTTAAAAAACTGATCACAAATTATAGCTAAAAACCCCGAAATGTCAATATTTAAGGAGTTATGGCCATTTTTAAGTTTGTTATTTTTCCTCTTTAAAAAACTGATCACAAATTATAGCTAAAAACCCCGAAATGTCAATATTTAAGGAGTTATTGCCATTTTAATGTTTGCATTTTTCCTCTTTAACAAACTGGTCACAAATTATAGCTAAAAACCCCGAAATGTCAATATTTAAGGAGTTATGGCCATTTTGAAATATGCTATTTTTCCTCCTTGAAAAACTGATCACAAATTATGGCTAAAAACCCCGAAATGTCAATATTTAAGGAGTTATGGTCATTTTAAAGTATGCTATTTTTCCTCCTTGAAAAACTGATCACAAATTATAGCTAAAAACCCCGAAATGTCAATATTTAAGCAGTTATGGCCATTTTAAAATATGCTATTTTTCCTCTATGAAAAACTGATCACAAATTATAGCTAAAAACCCCGAAATGTCAATATTTAAGGAGATGGCCATTTTAAAGTTTGCTTTTTTTCCTCTTTAAAAAAATTATAGCTAAAACCCCCGAAATGTCAATATTTAAGGAGTTATGGCCATTCTAAAGTTTGCTATTTTTCCTCTTTAAAAAACTGATCACAAATTATAGCTAAAAACCCCGAAATGTCAATATTTAAGGAGTTATGGCTATTTTAAAGTTTGCTATTTTTCCTCTTTAACAAACTGATCACAAATTATAGCTAAAAACCCCGAAATGTCAATATTTAAGGAGTTATTGCCATTTTAAAGTTTGCTTTTTTCCTCTTTAACAAACTGATCACAAATTATAGCTAAAAACCCCGAAATGTCAATATTTAAGGGGTTATGGCCATTTTAAAATATGCTATTTTTCCTCTATGAAAAACTGATCACAAATTATAGCTAAAAACCCCGAAATGTCAATATTTAAGGAGATGGCCATTTTAAAGTTTGCTTTTTTTCCTCTTTAAAAAAATTATAGCTAAAACCCCCGAAATGTCAATATTTAAGGAGTTATGGCCATTTTAAAGTTTGCTATTTTTCCTCTTTAAAAAACTGATCACAAATTATAGCTAAAAACCCCGAAATGTCAATATTTAAGGAGTTATGGCTATTTTAAAGTTTGCTATTTTTCCTCTTTAACAAACTGATCACAAATTATAGCTAAAAACCCCGAAATGTCAATATTTAAGGAGTTATTGCCATTTTAAAGTTTGCTTTTTTCCTCTTTAACAAACTGATCACAAATTATAGCTAAAAACCCCGAAATGTCAATATTTAAGGGGTTATGGCCATTTTAAAATATGCTATTTTTCCTCCTTGAAAAACTGATCACAAATTATGGCTAAAAACCCCGAAATGTCAATATTTAAGGAGTTATGGTCATTTTAAAGTTTGCTATTTTTTCCTCTTTAACAAACTGATCACAAATTATAGCTAAAAACCCCGAAATGTCAATATTTAAGGAGTTATGGCCATTTTAAAGTTTGCTATTTTTTCCTCTTTAACAAACTGATTACAAATTATAGCTAAAAACCCCGAAATGTCAATATTTAAGGGGTTATGGCCATTTTAAAATATTCTATTTTTCCTCCTTGAAAAACTGATCACAAATTATAGCTAAATACCCCGAAATGTCAATATTTAAGGAGTTATGGCCATTTTAAAATATGCTATTTTTCCTCCTTGAAAAACTGATCACAAATTATAGCTAAAAACCCCGAAATGTCAATATTTAAGGAGTTATGGCTATTTTATAGTTTGCTAGTTTTTCTATTTTAAAAACTGATCACAAATGATAGCTAAAAACCCCGAAATGTAAGTATTTAAGGAGTTATGGCCATTTTTAAGTTTGCTATTAAAAACTGATCACAAATTATAGCTAAAAACCCCGAAATGTAAGTATTTGAGGAGTTATGGCCATTTTAAAGTATGCTATTTTTCCTCCTTGAGAAACTGATCACAAATTATAGCTTAAACCCCGAAATGTCAATATTTAAGGAGTTATGGCCATTTTAAAGTATGCTATTTTTCCTCTTTAAAACACTGATCACAGATTATAGCTACAAACCCTGAAATGTCAATATTTAAGGAGTTGTGGCCAAAACTGATCACAAATTATAGCTAAAAACCCCGAAATGTCAATATTTAAGGAGTTATGGCCATTACTGTTCTGCGACTTGTTGAGTACTGATCTCTCTTCCAATTCGTTCAATATATTATTGACCATATTTAGTAAACAAATTAAAATTTCGGAATTTTATGTTTGATGCAGAATTTGTCATGAAACTCTGCAACTATGCTTCCCGCCAATTTTCGTATTCATTTCGCAATAATTCAATTGCTAGATAATGTCAATAAGTCTCCAAACCCCTTTAATATTCAATATCGAGTTGAGGGTCGAGGGTTTGTCATGAAACTCTTTCAGTTTCAATTCTTTCAAATTGCTACATAATGTATAGGGTGAAAAGAAAAAACTGCAACCAACTTCAGACAGTTGACATTTCTAAGCCACTCGTCCGACAGCGGATAAAATTATTCCAGTGACTAAATGAATAAATATTTTGTGTCTCATACCATCGCTCGTTACCGTGATACTGGTAGCGTAGCCCGACGTCAGGGAAGTGGACAGAAGAAAACAGCAACATCAGCAGAAATGGTTCGAAAAGTAAAGAAGTGGCTGAAAAATGTCTCATGAGCTGAAATTATTGCAATATTCCATTCGGCAAATATTTTAAAAAATGAGCTCGGGGTAAAGCCATTGAAATTCCTGAAAGTGCAAGAACTTACACCGCAAGAGCAAGACAATAGACTCTTAAGAGCTAAAAAGTTGCTTCGCTTGGCCGAAAGTTTTGAACTGTCGAATTTGGTTTCCTCCGATGAGAAAACATTCGTTGTCCAGCAGATTGTAAACAAACAAAATTATAGTGTTTACTTGCCTAGATCAGCTGAAAATGTGCACCTTCGGTTGGCCACCAGAGCTCAAGCGCCCGCCCTGGTGATGGTGTGTGCCGCCATAACAGCCGATTGTCGCTTTGCGGTCGTATTAATCGACCGTGACATCAGAATAAATGGCGAATATTATAGCGAAAATATTCTGGAGGGTGTGTTAAAGGGTTGGACACTCAAACATTTTGACCACAGACCTTGGACATTCCAAGAATGGTTAAAAAGTGAGGTTCCTCGCTTCATTTCGAGCGTGCAATGATCACCAAAATCTCCGGATACCAATACGTTGGACTACTGTGTCTGGCGTATTTTGGAAAGCAAGGTTGGCACTAAAAAATACCAAAGTGTCGATCACCTCAAGCAAGCGCTTCACCGGGAATGGGCCAAAATACCGCAGAGCAACATTCGGGCAGCGTGTGAGGATGTCATTGGCCGTTTGCAGGCCATAATTCGTGCCAAAGGTGACCAATTCGAACAAATCTAAACTTATTGTAAAATTTGATGCTATTTCCGATATTTTTTGCTTTCATTCAAAAAAAGAAAAAAAATTAAAAAAATAAAATTATGGCGTTTGACTTTGTTGCAGTTTTTTCATCTCACCCTGTAGACACACATGTTTGTAACGTGTACAACTGCTAAATATGTATAAATGGCATTTAGTCGATCCAGCCCGTATTTTTGTCCTTTCCTACATGCCCTCGTCTTTTATTCATATAAAAATTCAGATCGTTGCCCTTTATCGGGTCCGGCATATAATTTTCTGAAAATATTATTTTTTTTTCGAAGATAATTTTTCCCTGTAGCTTCCCATTGTGTCGTCATCCGTCTTCAAATAAAAACACGTGCATCGAGTTTTAGTTATTTTTTTCATAGTTTTTATTAATTTTTATTTATTGTTTATAACATTTTATTCTTATCCATAATATAATTAATAATTTTAATTTTAAAATTTATTACTAATAATATTTGATCAAATTATGGCTAAATTACAAAACAATAAAAATGCTATGACGATTTAGAATTTCCTCGTTTTCACTTATTTAATGGTTTTTTCCTTTTTTGTTTAATTTGTATTAACTTCGTTTTTTTTTTGTGGTAATTTAACGGTTTATGGTTGTTGGTGTGGTTGTGTGGTAGATGGCGCAGCTTTTTGTTTGGATGATGTTCGAACCAACCGTTAATCGAGTTTCCTTTTTTTTGGGGGTAATGCGGTATTATAAATAAATAATTTCAGGTGTAGTTTATTTGTTTTTTACTGTTTTCTTAATTTCATGTGTAAATCTTTAGAGAGAGAAGGTAACTTGTGAAGAAATTGAATTTAGAGATTTTTTCTGTTGGTGATAAGAAAATTATTGAAATAAAAAATTAATATAAAATTAAAATTTTTTGTTTTATAAAAATATTGAAAAGATTTTTAAGAACTTTTTTGGAAAAATAAATTAAGAGCTTAGTCGAAATTATATTTATTTATTTTTATTGAAAGTCACAAAAACACAATTTCAAGTAATCTCTTGTGTCATGGGAAAATTGTTGTTGTTTTCCTTGTTAATTGAAAATTTTGCAAAGTTGGGCTCACAAAATTCTTAATTAAGCGACTAAACAACAGTTTCTAGAATTATTAAAAATAAAGTTTTTATTAAATTAAAATTAAATACAACTGAAATTGAGATCTTGTCCTTTGTTAAAAAAATAGAATCGTAAGTTACAGCGTATTCCAAAATTCCGGGAATCCACTTTTTAATACAAAAATGGAATTCTTCCTTTTTGGAACCTCCTGTGTGTTTTGAAAAAAAAAATAAAAATTAATTTTCTTTTGTCATTAAAAACGAAACAAATCATTTGCCTCTTTTGCTGTTTTCTTTTGTGTTTACAATGTCTTCTTCTTCGTCTTCGTCTTCTGCTTCCTTTCCTTCGTTTGCTTTACTTTAGTTTTTATTTTATCTCTATTTATACAAAATTATATTAACCTTTTGTTTTTTTGTTTCTTTTTTGTCTTTTAAGTATCTCCTATACTCATTATCCTCTTCATATTGGTTGCTGTTGTTATTTCAAATTCTTAGCTTAGGTTATTTTTGTTTTTCTCATTTTCTTATTATTCTTTAAACCTTATCCATTTCTTTGTTTTTGTATTCCATTATTATTATATTTATTACTTTTTGTTAAATTTTTTTATATTTAGTTTTCGATTTTCGTCGTCGGCCTCTCACCTCTTCTTCTGTTCATTTGTTGTTTTAATTTTAGTAATTAAATATTTCTTCTTTTTATTTTTTTCTTCTTCGCTGTGGCAGTGTTTTGGCGTCAAGTTGTGTCAAACCTTTAACCGTTCAATTTACAATTTTTTGTTGTTGTTGTAATGTAACTTCTTAAGTGCTTAATTTTTAAGTAAAATTAAAAATTAAATCCTATTTCATAATTTCTTTGTCTTTGCAAGCAATTTTGTTGTTCTTGTTGTTGTTCTTGTTTATTTTCCTCAATGTGTTCTATTTTTGTTGCTGTTGCTATTTTTGAATTTCTTTCGTAACATTTTTCACTATTTTCATTATCATCGTCATTATCATGATCATCGTTTTTTTTTCTTGTTCTGTTCGCTTACATTACATCTAGTTCTTCTCCATCATCTTTAATATAGAAATTCTATCAGAATTTTTTAGGAAAATATTTAAATAAGAGTTTTAAAAGAAAAAATATAACTTCTATACATGAAAACTTAAAAAAGAAAAAAAAAATGTTTTTAAAAAGACCAAAAATATATATTTATATACATTGAGTTGTATTTGAAGTTATTTAGGGGATTCAAAGGTTTTGTTTTGAAAAAACAATATTGGAAACATTTTTCGAATAATTTTAAAAATTATTTGGAAAAATTGAATCTTGGAAATTAATTTTTCTCCAGAGAACAAATCCCGGAATGTTTTAACAAAAGTCCAGCCAGACGCCACCGAATTATGTGAAAAGGGTGAGAGAGAATGGATCCCGATTAAATTACTCTGTTAAGTCTCTCCACATCTTCCTTGAAATAAACTAGGTAATCAAAGGTCTTATATTTTTGAAAATTAAATCTTGAACAATTTTAATTTTTTAAAATATCTCAATAATGTCTTACACCTATAAAACTCTATAGGGTACCCAGGAAAATTCCATTCTGAAAAATAATCTCATCAGATTTCCTATTATCTTCTATCAATTAAAACCTCAGGCATGTACGTTTTAGAGTAAAATAGGTCAACCTAGTTCACTGAGCGTTTCAATCTCTCTCGTTCCTTTTTCTGAACAGCAACTAGGTTGTTCATCTAGTTCCTTTTAGGTCTGTCGTTACATTTAACTAAACCGTTCCTTTAAATGTTTCCTTAATTTTTTTCAATCGTATTTTGGATATCCTTTTTTGAAAAGAGTTTACCTTCTTAATTCTATCATGACTCGAAGCAAAAAGTCCTGAAAATCACAAAGGTGAATAAAGTTAAAAGAAAAACGAAATAATTAAAAAAAAAATACAAAATAACAACGAGATAAACTAAAGGAACCAGAAGGAGTGAAGCAATGCTCTACAAAACTCAAATGAAAGTATGTGAAGAGAGGGAGAGAGAATGCTCTCTAAGGGTGAGGATACATAAGACGCTTTTTAGACTGGCTTAAGTCATCGGCTGTCTTCTACGGTAAAGAACAAAGGAGCATAGGCCCAAAATCAAAGCAAGTCAACCTAAAATTCCAGTGTTCATCTACGAAAAAGCCAGTCGAAAAAGGGTTTCATTTATCCCCACCTTAAGAAATAAGGTTGAAGCGATATCTTAAAAAATATGTCGCAGTGTTTTTTTTTTTCTTTTTCGGGTTATTGTTATTATGTAACAAGAATTAATAGAATAATTAATTAAAAGTAATATACAAGGAATTTCAAATGTCCTAAGTAAATTTAATTTACATTTTTCACTTAGAATGACTGAAGGAAGAACCCCATCCTATTATATCAAAACTTACATTTCTTGCTATCTTCTGCTTTAATTTTCTCCAAGTTATTCATCTATCATTTTTTTAATGTATCCCTTTTTATACCCTACAACACTATGTGTTGGGGGTATTATAAGTTTGAATGGGCCAAAAATTTAGATGTTGAAATGGACCAAAAACAAATTATTTTCGGACAATATTTAGCGGGTATAAAATACCCGCTACTAAAATTTCCACTAAGCCTCGAATATATTTAATCCCGGTCAAATCGCAAATACATTTAAGGGTCACTTCTGACCATTAAGGTGATTCTGATAGCCAAGATATCGGAAAATAGGTGCAATATATATGAAAGAGAACTAGATATTTTTTCTGATTGTAAGTCAGAACCGCTGGGCCGTTTTTCACAATTCCCATCAATTCCGAATAATCTCTTGCAGAAAAGGATAAAATCTAGAAAAATCGCGGAAAAAAATATGCGCGCCTTCATTCAGGTGTTGTCTTGTGGCCTTTTCAACAGTTAGTTAATTTGAACTATTTCATTGCGGAGCGACAAAGCTCTATTGTGGAGCATATGAAAAAAGTCTTATGTCAATTGCCTAGTCAAATAAGTCGAATAACGTCACTTCTTCTTCACAACTCAATTCCCAGGTTCACGGAAGGCCTCCTCCATAATACTCCACATACATAGTCCTATAAGCTATGTCCTCCAGCTAAATTACTGAACCTACTTAATAATATTCATCATCATCATCATACTGAAAAATTTAGGTAACTATCTCGTTCAAGCAATTCAATTTCAAGGTGACCCCGGCAAGGAGAACCTATCCCGCCTTAGCGAAATCATCGTGGATGATATTGCTTTCTCATTGCGGAAGATACTTCCTTATGAAATTTAGTTTGCGAAGCGAATCGAGCTTTCTCGTTCCTTTTCTCATAAGGAGCTGCTTCCTAAATGTAGTTCCTTTGTTCCAAACAGTTCCGATTAAATATACTTCATTAGAACCTTTCTTTTTCATCGTTCATTTTCTCTTCTTCGTAGTTTTTGTTATTTCTAACTAAAATTTATGTTCCGGGGATTAGATAGTAAAAGGAACTAGATGAACTAACGAGCTGGGTCTAGTTCCGATCGTTCCTTTCGTGGAATAGTTCATTCGAACTAGTGGCGTCTTAGGGAGGAATGAAAATATCAATTCCGAATGCTTGCAGGGTTTTTGAACATATTTATTAAGATGATAAAGGTATTAAAACTACTACAAAAACCAATCAACCTGTGGATGTAGTTGTGTGCTAGATGGAATTCTATAATTCAGCGTTTTAGTTCACTTTGTAGGTCGTCACATTTGGTCATCAGTTAGTTGTTAGTATATATGCTCTTTTAATTGTCAGATGGTAGTTTATTTGCTCTTCCTATGAATTCAAAATGGATCGACTCTTTACTGAACTAGTTCAACTGATTTACACCAGTAGACAGTTTTGGTCTACGGAAACACTCTGACTGGGTGTGCAGGAGGGATACGTAAGTCGAATTTCGATTAAACGATCTGTTGAAGTCAAAAGCGAAGTCGAAGTCAACTTCTTGCGGTGTTGAAAAAGGCCACTTTTTTTTGACTACATCTCCCTGCAGAGTAGCTGGTACACATCAGTTTGTAATGGGAATAATGTGTATCAATTTTTTCTGGATGGGTTGGTCTTTGAAAACTCTGTACTTTTAGCTGTTGGAATAGACGATCTTAATATTCGGAATTTACTCACTCACTCACAATGCAAAAAAAATAAAGATTTTAAGAAGTAAAAACTTTTTTCAACTTACAGATAATGGAAAAAAAGTAACTTACTTCCATTACTCTGTAATGGGTCCTCTGACTCTTCAAGTTCAGATGGCTACTAAAGTTATGTCAAGTTAGAAATCATTTTTCGAAACACGCAAATATTTTAAAAATTTGCATTGAATTTGTTTCCAATATTGTTTAAATGAGAAATAAGATTTAGGTTTTTACGGCTTTGAAAACAATGTAGAATATTTTATGAAATTATCATCTGTGAAAGGATATAGGGTGTTATGAAGGTGTTCATTGTTTCTTCTTCTTTTGACAATCACGTTTTTTTTTGTTGTTGTTTGCTTTTTCGACTTAAATATAATGAAACTTGTTGGTTGTTCTGTATGAGAGATGGTAGGGGCTTGCGGTGTGGTTGGTATTGAAATTGTTTTCTTTTTCTCATCTTTTTTTTTGGTTCGTATTTCTAATCGATTGAAAGTAATTTAATTTAGTGATCATAATAAGTCTTTGTTTTATTTTTCAATTTTTCTTCTTTTATTAATATTCGTTAAATTTTTATTCACTTTTTTATTTGCTTTTGGGAAAAATACTTAAAATTTATAAGTTGTTGTTTATTTTTTTTTTAATTTATCTCATTGTTCATTGTAGTTTTCATTTAACTATTTAACAATCTTAATAGTATTTTTTTTTAATCATAAAAATTGTTAATTATTTATAAGGTTTGTTTTTTGTTTCTTTGTTTAAATTAATTACTTTTTATATATCTCACATTGTTTTGGTAATCTATTTGTGTGTGTGTGTGTGGGTTTTTTTCCTTCTTTATTGGGGATTTCGTTATGGCGGCATGTTAAGGTAAGTAATTGGCACAAAACATTGGAGTGAAATTTATAAGGGGTCTAATATTTCAATCTTATAGAAAAAAGTGGACACAATTTAGTGAGAATTTTTAAAGGTTTGAATGGATAACTGTATGCGAAATCAGAAATTTTGTATCGAATATAATACCAGAATACATAGGGTAGGAATAATGCAAATTCCTTACTGGCATAGATTTTTAGTACCCTATGTTGAAAATGTGGTATTGATATAACATCAAGAGGAAAAGATAAGAGAGCATCGGAATGTGATTTATACTTATAGGCTTATTCTTTAGACCGCTGTAGTTATCAAATGTAATTTCCAATATTAATATCTATCAAAGTCTGATCTTCTTTTTTCAAAACTCAGACTACTGTGATGAGACGACTTTATATAAAATAAGTATTGGTCAAAAGCACGAATTAAACCAACTAAAAAAGGAATTAAGTTTAGACCGGCCGAACTTCTATCTGAATTTGGATATTACCACTTTTAAAAAAGTTCCATAAAAAATTTGGGTGAATATCATAAAGGACGTACAAAAGTCAAAACATAAATGCAACGGCAAGGCCAAAAGAACATACAACGATATCAGTGAGAACAGCAGCAACCAACCACTCCAATATTCGTTTGCCATGTAACGGACAATTCAGCTTTCGGCAATATGCCGGTTATCATATAAGGTAAATAATTCTCATTCACTTGGTAATGTATAGTGTTCGGTTTGGGTTACAATGGGACAGGTTTACAACTGCTAGGGGCTCGCCTTAAGGGTAAGTAGTATTCTCTAAAATCATTTACTGTCCTCCGACCTACAGAAATCGTTGGCTTGGTATATATTTTTGACCCGTGTCTAATCAACTTGAGAGTCCTGTAAAAAATTGACACAAGAGCTTCGGGCTCACTATCCCAACCGAAATCTAGAAGTCACAATTAGGTAATTGTAGACCGTAGGATAACCCGACTAACTGAAATCCGAGCACTGTCCCGATTGGACAGGCTCGCTACAGGATGGGGCTTGCTTAAGAGGTACGTAGAGATATTCTAAAATTATTTATTATCCTCCGACTATCAGAAATCATTGGCTGGGAATGTCTTTTTTACCCGTCTCTCATTATCATCATCAATCATCAACTTGAGAGTCCGGTAAAAATTGACACAAGAGCTTAGGGCTCAATATCCCACAACTAGGTAATTGTAGACCGTAGTATAACACAACTAACTAAACTCCGAGCACCTATACGAGTTCCAGATCATCTACTCCTTTTACATGATCCGAACATCAGACAGTCGAATGTCGTTTCACCAGAGTTCCCGATTATAACCCGGACAGCGAAATTGTCTACAAATCGTGGTCCCCCATGACTCTTTACCAGAATTTCCGATTATCTTTAGATTGTCTATAATCCGAACACCGTGATCCCCAAGACTGTTCTCCAGAGTTCTCAATTATCTTTCAATCGTTTACAAACCGAGGATCGTCATCGTAATCCCCACACACGACTATCGATGAGTTCATTGGGGGCTACTCTAATAAGAGGACGATGTCGTATATTACATATGTTAAATGATAAGAAGTATTGTATGCGGCGATTAGGTTAGGTAATGATTAGGTTTAGTAGTTCTGATTTGAAACTGAACCCAAAACCAGGAAATTGGAAAAAAATATGATGAACAAAAGGATATAAGTACATGAAAGAGCTGTATTCGTCTTTAAACTAGTTCATTCCAGAACGAGACATCTTTAGTGTTGAGTTCTGGTAGTGGGTGCGTATTGCTGAGTTGTGCTTTCAACTGTAAAGGAAACTGCATAGAGATACAAAGTCGTGGAAAATGGAATCCTCACGAGCATGAAATCCTAATGCTACATTTTCAAGGACGGCTTAAAAGAAGGGGAAATAACAGGCTTAGACCTCTTTAACCTGGAAACAAAAATCTGGTGCTCCAGTCGGAAGTCTCTGCGGATCTGAACTGGCCAACTCCGTAAAATCACGAACGGTGGTGAAATGATGCTCAAAACCACTCTCTGAATGGATTAATGCGCATCATATACGTACTAGGTGACCCAGGTTTAAGATGCAACGAATGGGCAAAATCAGTGGTAAACAATTACATAATATTAAGTGCGTCCGGGCTGAAGAGCTAACATCCTCAAAATATCGAATATGGGGAGGTACCGTTATATGGGCGTTTTTGTGAAAACTTGAACCTATATACATAATACGTTCTTCCACCCCATGTAAAATTTATGAAGAACCACAAATACAAAGTTGTAGTCGAATCCGTTAGAAAATGTGGCTTAAATCGTCAAAATACCGAAAATCAGGAGATACCGTTATATGGGTTCTATACTAGTTAGTGAACCTATAGCAAATACTTTTTGGAGGGAGAGAACAGTCCTTCCAGGTATCCCAAATGTAAAGTTTCGACTGTGTCAGAAACCTTAAAAGTACAGAAAATCGGGAGGTGCAGCTCTATTGGGACTCAACGTGAATGTGGACCAATATAACCCATTTTCAATACCAATCAGTCTGCATATAATATAAACTTTTGTGCAGAATTTCAGCTCTAGATTAAATAATGTTGATTTTATCGTGATTTCAATGGAGAGGCGGGAGGACTGAAAGACGGATATCGCTTAATCGGCTTATATTTTAATGCTCATCAGGAATACTTCTACTTCGAGTTGTTGCAAACTGAATGACACATTTAATATACCCTACATTTTATGGCGGTGGGTATGAACAGTATTTACGGAGGCATAAATTGAGAAAGTGCAAAGGCCTTAGGGATATGGAGGTAAGAAAATCCTCCAAGATCCTTTAAGGGAGTCCAAATAAGATCCAATCATATACTTTACTATTATAAAGTAAAGCCGAGATTGGCAGATTAACGGTGTTCATCACGGGGCGTCCAGAACTAGAACAAGCACATCTACACAGAATACGATGTTCGGTCAGATCAATATGAATCGTTACAATATTTCCTTTGTCTCTGCCTAGCTTTCACTTATATTAGGGATCAGTTCTTTAGAGAGATGTGCTCACAGATCTGGGATACATCAGGTAAATATACCTTACCTTTGTTGAGAATAGAGAATTCAATTTTTTTTCTGTTAAAATAGTGACACCCTTTCTCCGCAGTGAAGCATTCAACATGCCTAATTTTAAGTTGCATGGGTTACATCTGTTTTCAATCTAACCTAACGTTACATGGGAAACTGTGCTTCATAGAAAACATAAAATTAAAATGTTTACATCAGTGTCTGCTATACCCAGGAGGACCCTAATTTTGAAGTTCTACACTCAAGATATTTGCGCTAATGACTTACCTTAACATCCTTAAAATAATGAAATAAAAATAAAAAAAAAAATAATTTTTCAAATGTTTTTTTGTTTAAAATTATTAAATAATTTAATAGTATTTTGTTTGTTTCTTTTTGCTATATATATATATATGTATTGTGGTAGCATTTTTACTATAATTGGGTTTCATTTCTGTGTATGTCTGGATGTGTGTGTGTGTGTGAGGTGTGGTTTTATAAATTAATACATATTTATTGTTGTGTTCTGTTTTTTTGTTTTGTTGAAAATACTAGGGTAGCAAGGACCAAGGATGAGTTAAGGGGGTGGGGGGGGACAACCGGAGTCTAGTATGATGGTGGTTTATATTTTTAATTGTAATCAATTTGTTTTTCTCGTAATAATTTGTTGTTTATTATTAACTTCTTGTTATAATATAATTTGTTTTTGTATTTTTTGTTTTTTTGTTTTTTTACTTTTCGTTTTATTTCAATATGTTCAGTAATTGCTATTGTTTGCAGTGGTTTTATTTTAATTAATTAATAATAATAATAATCATAATATTTAATTAATGTATATATATATTCAGTTATTTTTTAGGGTTTTGTTTTTTATTTCGTTTTCATTATAAATAATATTTACAATTGTTTGTTGTTTTTTTTTTATTTTGTAATATTAAGGAGGAGCATATTATATATGTGGGCAAGGATTAAAAACTGGGTTGGGGGGAGATGGGGATGAAGAAAGTGTGAGGGGCAAGTTGGGGGCATTTTTTATACATCAACCGGAAACCCGGGAAACTAAACTCACAAATAACGTTTTGCTTTCGTTTTCTTTGTTAGTTTCCCGACTTCCCTTCGTTGCTGTAGGCCTGTGTAAAAGAGTGTGTGTTTGTGTTTTGAGTTTTTTTTTAATATTTTATAACCTAAAACTAACTTAAATATTATTAATATTTAATAATTTTGTTTAACTAAGAGCTGGTAGTTTTTTTCCATTTAAATTTATTTTCAAATTATTTAATTTTTATTAAATTGTTTTTGTTGTTGTTTTTTGTTTTTAATATAATTTTTAAGATTTCCTCTCATACTTTGTGTTAACTAAAAAACTGCATGTCTTCTCTTTGTTGTTGTGGTTGGATTTTGTGTGGGGATTTTTTTATTATTTTTTATTTTTTAATTTATAATTTTTGTTTTATATATTGGGGATATAAATTAGAATATTTTACAAAGTTTTGTTGTTGTTGGGTTTTTTTGGTTAAATTTCTTCAGTTTTTTAAGTTTTGTTTTAATTTTTTTTCTTCTTTTTCTTTACCTTACTAAATTGTGGTATAACTACTAATTGTGTTGTTTTTTTTTATTTATTTAAATTTTGTTTTTTTTTTTTTGTAATTCATTCACCTAAATTTTCTTGTAAATTTTTGTTTTTGTTTTTTCTTCTCATCTTCATCTTCCTTTGAAATTTGAAATTGCTAAGTTGTTTTCCACTTTCTTTAAGAAATGTTGAATTGTTGTTGCTTTTGGGTTGTTGTAGTTGTTGTTCTTTACTAAAGAAATAATTCGTGGAAGAGTTGTTTGTATTTTCTCCTAAATATCCGCTTTTGTTTGTGTTGGGCGCCAGGGAATTGATTTGTTGAATTTCCTTGCATTTTGTTATTGTAGTTGTTGTTATTTTTATACACTAGATCTAATTATTATTTTTTTGAGTGTGTCTTGCATGCTATTTTCTTTTTTTGTTAAGATTTTGTAGTTGTAGTTTTTCTTTCTTCTTTTTTTGGTTTTTTGAGTTGTAATAATTGAAAAATCAGTGCTCTTTAAAGTTTTGTTTTTTTTTTTTCTCATTTTTATATTGAGGTGAGGTTTTCCATTTGTTGTTGTTGTTGATGTTGAGAATTTAGTTTTTGTTTTTTTTGATTGTTTATATGCCTTGAGTGTATGTATGCATGTGTGTGGGTGTGAATGATAGGTCCTTTTCTCCATGGCCTACAAATGAGAAATTTTTCTTAATGGCATTCCTGGGAAAGTTGGGAGAAATCTCACTCTCTGTAACCTATATGCAAAAGTCAAGCCACACCTGTTCCGCAACCTAACGGAGAGGGGAGGGTATGGGGTTTTTGGGGCACCCATCCATCAATAGAAACTGAAACCTTATTTGTTTATGTTACATTATCTAGCATTCCTTTCTCTCTCTCTCTCTCTCTCTCTATTTCTCTCTTTTCTCGCCTCTCAAAAATCCCACCATTGCCTGGGCCAACGATAGCGCCTCAGGGGCCTTTGTCAGCAAACACTTTCCAACTCTGCAACACCGGCCCTTTGCATGGCCTGCCGTTTGCGATATTCATAGAACTCCTCACGCATGGCCTGGAGACGTGCCTCTATATTATCATAACGTCCAGGGAGTCTTGACTTCCGACCCATGCCACTACCAAACAGGCTACTCGAAGAACTCAGCGGTCCCATGGTGTGGCCATGACCCATATGTGTATGATGTTGGCTGGTCGGATGCAAATGACCCGTGGTGTCGATGTGTAAATTGAGATCTTCTCTCAGTAAACCCCCAGTGGGCGTGGAGGCACTCGGTGTGGGTGTGGATGGATCAAATTCATAATGGCCATCCACACTACCCACATCCACGGCCTTGGAGAGATTCACATTGTCGGTGGCTGCATTTAGGCGTGTTATCATATCCAGCCAATGTTCCATGGTGTAGGGCGGTGTTAAGGTACGTTGGGTGCTGGAACTGAAATAGTTCGAGGGTGAATAATGTTGATAGGTGGATGAAAATGGCAGGGTGTTGTAGGGATTACAATGTAATTGTTGTTGCCCTGGTTGTTGGGGTGTAAGTTGCGAGTATTGCTGTTGTTGAGATGCTATTGGCACCTGGGCCTGGGCCTGCTGTGGTTGGGCCGTAGCCTGTTGCTGCATGGCCGTTTGCTGCATTCCAAAATAGGCACTATTTGTTGTTGCCGCTGGCGGCGCTGCTGTTCCCGCTCCCACTACCCCTCCCACTGCACTTGGCGGCGGTGGTGGTGGCCTATATGGCGGCAGTAGACGCCACTCACTTGTACTACCCGAATGATGTGATCCCTGTGGATGATTGGAAGTATTTTTCGAACCAAAACCACTCGAACTGGATCGAGACTCCGGCGAGGCATCCAAACCCAAGGCATGTGGATGGTGATGATGATGCAGATGATGGTGATTATTAGATCTTAATGTAAGATTTAAATGAGGCAATGGAGACATTAAATCTCCCTGAGATCTTCCAAAGAGACGCGAGTAATGGCGGGGATACCAACGGGTCCTGGGCCGATAGCTGTGATAATACGGGGCCGAGCTGTGTTGATAATAGCTACGCCAAGAGGGTGGTGAGTCCATTTGCAAGGGTAGGAAATCCAAATGTTGTTGGTGTTGTTGTTGCTGCTGCTGGTGGTGCTGCTGCTGTTGTTGTTGCTGTTCATAATTCAAACGCCTTGTCTCCTCCTGTATGGTCCGCAACGAGGGCAGTTCATGGTTATAGTAACGATGACGACTTAAATTACCACTGGCAGTGGGCGTTAAGGTGGGCACAGATCTTTCAGCGGAACCCGGATATACAGTACTCAAATCACTGAAAGGATTATAGGCGAAATGGCCAGCTGATTGATTGGGTGTGGTCATGGCCCAGGGTGATGTCAACAGACCCTCATCCGTTTGTGTAATAACCCCAGTGGGACTGCTGGCCGGAGAACTGGAAAATATTCTCGACACTTTGGATGGTGAGAACACCTGATGCATGTGATGACTTTGCAGGCCCCCGCTAATGGTGTTGATGTGTAGGGGTCTGCTGGCCGGCTGGGCCTGCTGCTGACCCATGGCCAATTGATCCGTGTGCTGATGACCATGTAAATTACGATAAATGCTATTGCCGCCATAGACATTTTGATAGCGAGCACCCGACAATAGATTCTCACCCTCTCGACAGCCGGAGGAACCACCGCCAATTTTTAACAAACCCCCCAAACCTTGCAACAGACCTCTGGCTGAGCCAGCTGCCACCGATTGCAAACTTAGCTGGCTGGGTGAGGCCACCAAGGGACGACGCCAAGAGGCTCGGGCCGTAATAAAATTACGCCTTGACAAAAAGCCACCATCATCCGATGAGGACTTCTGTGAGGCACTGCTATTACGTCGTACATCTACATTATCCACCTCATCGAATGATCCATTTTCAAGTCCGACAATGCCGCCATCGCCATTTGTCAGAGCATTTGTTGACCCCGTTTTGTTGGCCAGCACAAAACGTCCATCGCGTGAGCGTTGTATTTCGCTAAGCGATTTACGACGTCCATCGGCCTCGTCCAATGTCGGCGAACTGTAAATCGAGTGGCAATTGTTACAGCGATCCGGTGGCCATATCCAGTGTAAGATTGCAATAAGTATTGTTGTTAGACTTGATATTCGGGTTTGTTTATATCTGTGAGGGGAAGTGGAATCATTGTTTTTTTTGGGGAGAGGAGGAAAAATATTTTTGAAAATTAGTTGTAAGCCATTAAAAGTAAAACACATAGAGGGCATGCTAAATATGTATTATTTGTTAGTTTATATTAGTATGCCAACCTTTTGATCTACATCGAGAGCATCCAGTCATTGTTATAAATACACAGCAATAAGCATTAATGGGAAATACACAAAAAAGAGAGACACATATTTACACAGGGTTAGTCAAAAAATATACATACATTAATTTACATATCTATGTATCTAAAAATATGTACGAAAAATATGCGAGGATGTTTGGATGATACATTTACAATTTATAAAAAATAAAAAAGGTGAAAATATGTGGAAATGCAATAGTGAGGTGTTATGTTTTTTTTGAAATAATTATTTTGTAAAATGTATGTATAAATGTTGTTAACACCTATTACGCAATAAAACACATTGTATAATATACAATACATATATAATACAGGGTGAGATGAAAAAACTGCAAGCAACTTCAGAGTGCTGTCATTTCTAAGCCACTCGTCCGACAGCTGCTAAAATTATTCTAATGACAGCTCATTATATTGTTTACAAGCATACAAAAGGATTTTGGTAAGAATTTTCTAGAAAAAAAGTTTTTCGTGTTGGAACTTAAGCGTGATAGTGTGATTTCTCTATATTTGGCTGGAAGACCACAAGTGGCTATAGTTAGAGCATTCCAGCATTCAAAATGAATAAATATTTTGTGACTCGTACTTTTGGGTCTCGTTACCGTGATATTGGTAGCGTAGCCCGATGTCAAGGAAGTCGACGGAAGAAAACAGCAACATCAGCGGAAATGGTTCGAAAAGTAAAGAAGCGACTTGAAAAATGGCTCATGAGCTGAACATATCGCAATATTCCATTCGGTAAATATTGAAAAATGAGCTCGGTGTAAATCCATTGAAATTCCAAAAAGTTCAAGAACTTAGACCGCAACAGAAAGAAAATAGACTCAAAAGAGCTAAAGAGTTGCTTCGCTTGACCGAAAGTGGGAAAACATTCGTTGTCCAGCAGTTTGTAAACAAAGAAAATGATCGTGTTTACTTGCCACAGAGGTCAGCTGAAAATGTGCACCTTCGGTTGGCCACCAGAACACAAGCGTCGGCCATGGTAATGATGTGGACCGCCATAACAGCCGATGGTCGCTCTCCGCTTATATTAATCGACCGTGGCGTCAGAATAAATGCTGAATATTATCGCGAAAATATTCTGGACGGTGTATTAAAGCCTTGGGCATGCAAACATTTTGTCCACATTCCAATAGGACTTTTTTAAATTATGATTAAAAACTGACTTTAAACGAGATCGCAGCTAATCAAAGTATTCTACAAAATTATTTGACATCAAATTCTTCTATAGGTCCTAGAAGTCATTAAAAGCCTAAATCTTACCTAGACGTCAGGAACTCATATCTATTAAAGAGATATTTAAGAGTTAAAGCATTTTCTCCTGCAAAGCAACATTTTAGAAGGATGACGTCATAGACAAAAATTGTCTTCAATAAATTCCACTCTAGGCCACCAAAGCAAAGAAGCCATTATTTTTAGGGTATATCAAAAAATATTTGCTTCAATGTTACAAAAAAAATATGAATTATGCCCTCAGACATATGGCTAGAGAGGGTATATATCATTTGATACGGCGAAAATGTGCCTTTATCGAAATAAAGGTGTCAGACCCTAGGTCTCTTTGGACAAATCCGTTTCAGGACTTTTGGAATCGATCTAGCGCTGTCCGCCCGTCTGTCTGTCTAGCTGGTGCGCACGATAACTCTCGAAGAGAGTATCTGATTTGGTTCAAACGTGGTACATAGTAATATTATTGTCAAACTTAGATCGAGTTCGGAGATGGGCAATATCGGACCGCTACTTTCTCCACAAAAGGTCAGAAAGTAATTTACCTCAGGTTTCAAAAATGGACATCCTATTTTATTCAAACTTTTCAAATCCTAACATTTGTAATAGTGCATGCTCAGGCGCAAAAATGGACAGTATTGGCCTCTCGTTCAAGTACCCCCCACAAATGGTAAAAAATTTGAATATTTATAACTCTTATGAAATGTGAAAATAAAGATCGATTGTTTTAAATTTTCACATATCCCGATACTTTTGTTAACACAAGATCTGGTGGGAAGATGGTATATAACGGACCTCTCCTTCAAGTTCCTCCCCAAAGGAGTGTCAAAATTTTGAGTACTTATAACAAGACATTGATTCTCTTTAAACTAAGTATATCTACATATTTTGCTTAGTTCGAGATCTGATGAGGATAAGTGATTTTTCGACTCATTCCTTTTGAAACGAAGGGAAAACATTTTAAATGATTACAAGTCTCATAAAATGCAAAATAATTATTCCATATTCATTTCTAATTCGCGCAACGCACTATTTTTACCATTCTTTCCGTTACCTTCTCCACCAAGGTTGAACATTTCGAATAAAAATAACTCTCGTAACATGTAAAACAAGTCAGTGACTTTCTTTAAGTTTAGTGCATCTTGATGATTCTATTAACCTTACATCAAATGTATTAACCCATCACACCTTCAGGTACCTCCCCTTTAAAATGTAACTATTTTGTTTGCATAAAATAAGTAAGAACAAAATTATATGGTGTAGTAAATTGTGATACATCGGTCCAATCTCTTTTGTCCACAACAAAATTTCAACATTTTTTAAAAACAAAATATCGGGTTAAGTTCAGCGAGATTGAACTTTGGATATCCTCCGCCATTAGAGAGAAAAACCAAGTTGTTATATATTTTCTATACATTTTTTCCTTACATAAAAAATAGATGCAAAATAATTATTGTTTATAAATACTACCGTAAAATGTGTCAAAAGGTATCAGTCAAAGTATCGGCTGTTTTTAACAACAAAGGTGAAGCTAATTTTCGGCTAGGGAAGGATGTATCCACAAAGAACAGAATAACAGAGGGTCCCCTTAAACGGGGGCAATCGTACACGATTTTTAGTCGAACTGGTAACTATTTATAAGGAATAGTCGAAATTCAACCAATTTCATTGAACATTTTGGATAAAACACCAAAATAGTAATAACCGTATGTACCGTTATATGAAGACTATCATATAGACAATTAGACTATATAGACAATTATCTTCCTGGGATTTTAATACTCATAAAGAGCTTCATTTATGGAATCTCAGACAATTCCATTGAAAAATGTGCCGAAAATCGTCGAAATGCTTAAAATAAGGATGTGCCGTTGTTTAGGGGCTATGCCACAATATGGACCTATATTAACCGAATTTTGCAAAGGGGGTTAGAAACACGTTTCAACCTTAAATAGCAAATTCCAGAAAATACCGTTGAATAAAGGGGTACCAAATTCAAGACAATTCCATTGAATAACGGGATACCGTTATATGGGCGGCTGTAGGAACTTTAGATTAGTTCTGACCGAAATCACATTCAGCAGTCGATCTCAATTTCTTCGGAAGATAGCGTGATTACAACAAGCGAACGGATGGACATGGCTAAATAGTCTAAGAATTGTACTCTGATCAGGAATGTATACATTTTGTATGGTCTGTAAGAAATGTTGCGATGAGTTACAAATGGAATTACAAAAGCCTCCGTACAAGTTTATGGAGGGTAAAAACCCACGTATCCATATAAAGTGGGTAAGTTTTCGATATACTCCAAATCTGGTACGTCGTTATATTTATATCAGATTGTCGTCAAAACCGACAGATAATTTTTAAATTGTTTATTAATGTGACGGTGGATTATATTTTATGCCATATTTTGTAGCAGCATATGGGGCGTATGAAAGTTGTTTAATTTCCGCATCGCTTATACGACGTGAAACAAATCAAAATTAAAATATCAAATGTTTACCAAACATAACAATGTGAATGAATATGAGTAAAATTATTACATCTAAACAGAAAATCAAGCTACAAAAGAAAAAAAAAAACGGCTAATATGACAATAATGGAAACAATTTTGTTTTTCATCTATAAAATAATACAATCATTCTCAAGAACGACATTGAAAATTATGATGCAAAATATCGGTATACATCTATAAATAATACAATTATGATTTCTATATTAAAAAAAACAGCTATTTATTTTGTAATTTATTTTTTTTTTGCTACAACACACATTGTAATTTGTTTCTATGATTTTTCATAATTTTTTTTTATTGGATCTTACGATTTTGATTATGACATGATGGACCTGGAACTATGAAAACGGTTTCATAATCACGATAATGATCAGTATTGCTAAATGCGCGAATGTACGATATAGTGGGGAAAAGAAAGTAGATAACAGATGTAAAGAAGAGATGGTAAATTGTATTTAAAATATGGGGATTTTTTTTCATGAGGTTCAAAAAAAAAAAAAAATTAAAAAAGGCCAAGAAAATAAATAAAATTAAAATCGGTGGGAGGTGGGTCTCAATTTGCATATAAATTTAAAAAGTGAACATAAGATAAGGTTGTTAGACATTTCTCTTCAGGGGCTACACCATTTTCAAGTTTTGGAAGAAAATAGAATCGTCAAGTGTCCCGCAGAAGGAAACCAATTTTTTCTGGAAAAAGGAAAAATGTTCCTGGTCCCAGTATCTTCTTTTCATGAAAAATTGCCAAGTGTCATACATTCTCCATGAACTATAACTATTTTCTTCCTTGTAAAAATGGTCTCGCCCCTCACCCCTCCCCTCATCAAAAGTACAGAAATAAAATAATATTAATGATGCAATTAAAACAAAATAGAGAATGCCAACGAATGGGCATAGGAACCAAAGAAATAATATCATCATTAAAATAATTTAATAGACTTTGTAATAAAAAAATGGAATGGAACGAAACGCATCGCAACGAGAAAGAAAACTGAATCCAGAATATGAGACTAACTAAAATTCAAACTTTTATACACGTGCCAAAAGTATTTCTGGCATTCTGCTTTGCCCTTTCTTCCCATGACCACTTCTCCATCTTCAAATGCAGTCATTTCTAGCCAGAGAATAAAGTCTAATTAGAAACAAAAGTCGTAGAAGTGGATTTAATCATTTGGATTATTGTTGAAGTTTTTTCTTTCTTTCTCGATTGATTAGTCAAAGTTTATTTTTATGTTGCGCATGGAAATCAATACTTGAGTTATAGAATAGAATTTTTTATGGTTGTATTGTTAAGCATGTTTTGCGAAAATATGTTCATTAGTAAAGTTTCGGAGTTGAAATGTAACTTTTTCTGCATTGATTACATGGAGATGGAAGTTATTGAGAAAATACCCCGAAGGAAGGAAATGGTGGTAATTGAGGAAAAATTTTATGGAAGTAGGGCATATTTGGGGGAAGATTGGTCCAGGAGCTCCGAAGGATAAACAGCAATTTGAAAATTTATTTTTATGGATTCTTCAAAAAACCTCGAGTAAAATGTTTCTAGATAGAAGTACCTTTCTCCATAGAAAAAAACATCAAACAGGTATTCCAGAGACAAGCAGACGAACGTGGCATTTTAGAAGTAGATATGCCAAAAATACATCCAGTAAAGTTTTTTGACTCAACTCATAACTTTGAAAGATCTTCCAAAGGTCCCTGAAAATAGAAGACGTACAGCAGGTCTTTTTTATATCTGAAAGACAGCCTAAAAGTCGACTATTACCAAAAGGCTTACAGCATGTCTTCCAAAAAAAAAAAAAAAAAAAAATACAAAAAGTACTCCAGGAAGCCGTAGAATAACTGCAGGATATATATTTCGAAAGGTCGATTTTAATGTGGAAATTCTACAGAAGATCTCCCTTATACAGATAAACTGCAGGAGGTCCATAGAAGACCAAGAGGTCTTTTCGTTATAGAAGACTTCGAGGTCTTTTTTTCATAGAAGATCTGCATGGGGTCTTCTTTACATAAGGTCTGCAACATGCCTTTTTCGGTATTAGATATTAAGGAGGTCGTTCTTCGATATCGGTTTCAATCTATCGGGAGTTTTTTTCCGATAGGAGGCATGAGAGGCTTTTTTCGAGAGAAGATATGAATGTTGTCTTATCCTTAGAAGACAAGCATGACTTCATCTTAGGTCGAAAAACCTGGTGAAGCACGTCCTGTAAGAGAAGACCTACAAGGGGTCTTCTTTCAATAGAAGATCTGAAGGAGTTCTTTCGATATAAGACATGAAATTGGTTTTTTTACAGAAGGTTTTTGTATAGAAGACTGACAAGAGGTATTTTCACCATAAAAGACCTACTTCCAAGGGGTCGTCTTCCTAGAGAAGAAAAAAAATCCTCCCGGTGTAGAATATTAAAACAGAAAGCTTGTAGGAGGACTTTCTTCAAGCGAAGACCTGCGGGACGTCTGTTTTCTAGAGAAAACTTAGAGAAGATCTTCTTTCTATAGAAGACCTGCATGAGATCTTCTTTCCATAAAAGACCCGAGGAGTGTTCTTCTATAAAAGACCAGCAGGAGGTATTCTATAAAATATCTTCAAGAGATCTTCTTACTATAGAAGAGCAATGAGAGGTCTTCTTTCTATAGAAGACCGACTTAGATTTTTCCTTTTAAAGACCGGCAAAAAATCTTCTTTTCATATGGATGAACTGCAGAATGTCTTCTTTCCATAGAAGTCCTGCTGCATGTCTTCTTTCTATAGAAGACTTGCTGTATGTCTTCTTTCCATAGAATACCTGCACGAGGAGGTCTTCTTTCTATAGAAGACTTGCACAAGGTCTCCTTTTTATACAAAACTTGAATAGGGTCTTTTTTCCATAGAAGACCTGTCGGAGGTCTTCTTTCCATAGTCTTCTTTCTATATAGGAACTGCAAGAGGTCTTCTTCATAGAGAAAATCTGCAGGAGGTATTTTTCTAGAGAAAACCCCCAAGAGGACTTCTTCCCAAAGAAGACCTGCAGGAGTTTTCTTTCATAGAAGAACGGCAAGAAGTTTTCGTTACATAGAAGATTTGTTGGAAGTCTTCTATCTATTGAAAATTTTGCAGTAGGTCATTTTCTAGGAAAGATCTGCAAGAGGTCTTCTAATTCATAGAAGACCAGCTGGATGATTTCTTTCTCCTGGTGGTCCTCTTTCCATAGAAAAATTGCAGGGGGTCTTCTTTCTAAAGAAATCCGGCAGTAGACGTTTTTTACTTCTAGGTCTTCCTTCTAGAGAAAATCTGTAGCAGGTCTCCTTTCTAAAAAGAATTCTGTGGGTATTACCTAGAGAGATGACCTCTGCAGGCCTTCTTTTGATGAGAGGTCTATATAGGTTTTCTAAAAAAGAAGTTCTCTTCAGGTCTAATATAAAAAAGACCGTCTCGGAACTTCTGTGGAAGACCTCTGCTTGTATTCCTTTAGAAGAATACCTATATACATTTTCCAAAGAAAGAAGATTCCCTGAGGCCTTCTATAGGAAAATAACTCCTGCAGATATTCTATAGATATAAAGCCAACTGTTGATCTGTTGCTAAGAAAATGACTTTCTGTTGCTGTTCCATAAAAAGAATTGCTCCTGCGAGTCTTCTCTAAAGAAGGCCTTAGTTGATGATGGAAGACTTTCAGGTTTTCCAACGACAGGAACTTTAACAGTATTGAGCTCCATAACATTTTTGCTGTTTTTTTTTTTTAGGAGAAATATTTCCTACTGGAAGATTTTGTTATGGTCGCCCAAAAGAGAAGATCTCCTGAAGGGATAGAGGTAAAATATAATGAATTTTTTTTTAAAGGTGGACTGAAATTATTTGGTTTACGAACGACCCTCTACTACTCTTCTATTTTTATCCTCAAAAAAGGAGAAATTTGTTTTAAATAGCTAAGCTTTTAAACCAACTGGGACAGAAAGCTAAAGCCCCTTTCTTAAAGCTCTCCCGAAGCTTTTAAAAAATATGTTTTCTTTCCAGAAAAAAATGTTTCAACCCAAAAACTTTAAATGCTATAATTAAACTTAAAGTTAAATAAATATTTAACAAAAATAATTAAAACCAAATACCAACACAAAAAAGAGGTTAACAAAAAAAAAAAAACAAATTAAATTAATGAATTCATCACACAACGAAAGAAAGAGAGCGCGATATATAAATAAAGCGAGAAAGACAATTCAAATGAGGAAGAGGAAAAATATACTTACTTTTTTAAAGGCACTTGACTAGCGGAAATCGAGCCCGTATTACGATTATGCATTTGTTGTTGTAGATGATGATGCTGCTGCTGTTGTTGTTGTTGGTGGTGTTGCGGATGTTGTGAATGTTGTTGTTGTTGCTGTGATAGAGATTGTTGTTGCTGTTGTTGATGATGATGATGCTGCTGCTGCGGATGATGATGGTGATTATTTGCTGCTATATTACGGGCATCCGTTATCCTGCAAGCTACCATGTTGAACTCTGTAAACGAATTATTTCTACAATTAATTTTGGTGGAGTATTTAGCCATCCTTATGCTAAACATATAAATACAGCATATATATATATATATACATGTATGTATAACAATCACATTAACATTATCGTCTATATAAATATCGTGGGAGCGGAGGGGTCGGGTAAGAGTAGCTAGATTGGTATGGTACATACATACTCACTCACACACAAATACATATGTATATAAATTGTAAATATATGCGGGATTATGAACAGATAGACTGGCATTATAGCTTAACGTTGATTTTTTTTTTTGGTATATTAGACAGCGATAGATAGCAAATATGGAATGAGAAATAATTTAAGTATTTGTTGTTGTTTTTCTAAGTTATTCTGTTCAGCTAATTACACTTATAAGCTATAAGTTAAATGCATTCTGGATGTTTATTCATATGTGTATGAGTTATTTTTGTATATTTGTATTTTATTTGTGGAGTTAAGAAAGATTATTTTTATATATTTGAGAATTCTGATTCTGATTTTGAATTGGATACCCGAACTATTAAATTGTATGGATAGAAGAACATAAATTTCATGGAAGCAAAACGAACATTTTAGAAAAATTATCTATATTTATTTTTAAAGATTCGGCCATAGGCACGTTCATAAAAGCGAATGTTGCGAAGAGAAACAGGGTTAGTAATATTGTATATATATTCATCATTCGCAGATTCATATCTTCAATTTTCATATCAGAATAATCAGGAAAGATGGAAACATTCGACTATTTAGGAATAATTTATTCTATATTAGCAATTAGACTTTTAGGATTTATTGCATGAGCTCATCATATATTTACTGTAGGGGTAGACGTTGATACCTGGAGCTTATTTTACTCCAGCTACAATAATTATTGCTGTACCAAATGGAATTATGATTTTTAGTTGATTAGCTACATTATACGGAACTCAATTAACTTATTCTCCATCTATTTTATGAGCTTTAGGATTCGTATTCTTATTCACTGTAGCATATTCAGATCATGTAGAGAGGTCTTGACTCTTATCCTCATGGATAGGTAGTTTTATTTAGCTGATCTACTCTCGTAAAGAGTGACTTTTTAGTTGTTATCTTTTTTGGCAACACATGTATAAACAGCTTACGCATTAATCTGGAAGCCAAAAAAAGAAAGATTTTTGGATCCTTAATTTTCACCTTCAGATTTTTAAATTTTTATACCCTACAACACTAAATGTTACGGGTATCATAAGTTTGATTGGGCCAAAAATTATGTAACGCCTCGAAATATTGATTTCCCACATAGGAAGGTATATATGGATTTTCATATCTCGCCGAGCTGAGTCGATCTAGCTATGTCTGCCCGTCCGTCTGTCTATGTTAATTTGTAATTACTCTACAGGTCGCAATTATGGCCCGATCTTCACGAAAGAACCCTATTGCTTTTGGAGATGATCGCATAATATTTAGGAATTGAAATGGACCAATAACTGAAAAATTTCATGATTTTGCAGTTGCTCTACAGAACGCAATTATAGTCCAATCGAAGCAGAAGTTAGAATGGGGCTTAGGGCTGGGCAGAAGCCTTCTAACTTTGATGGCCATCGGGTAATATTTAGTGGGTGATATAGACCATAACATTTGTGTTAAACAAAAGTCAAATTTTCCATTAAACGGCGAATATTTTTAATCCCGGCGAAATTATGAATAGACGAACAGGTCAGTTCTGACCGTTAGGTAGATGCCGTTAGTAAATATATCGGATATATATCGAAATATATACAATGTATATATATACAAAGGAAGTCGATGTTAGCTAGAATGTTTATATCTCAAAATGGCTGCACAGATTTTGACAAGTTTTGTCAATTCAGAATGCCCTTGGCATAAAAGTTTTAAATATAAAAAAACTTTGTTGTTGTATATTGTTGACCTGTTATATGTATTTTACTTATTTGGTTAATTGCTTGGCTTAAGGTCATTAAAAAACTATGTTTTTATTTTTGAATTTTTCCTTTTTTTTTTTTATTCATCCAATATTTCGATTTCCTCCGGAAATCATCTTCAGGGATATTTTTAAAGTAAAAAGCTCGTCTATTGAGTTTGATAGTGACACGCAATAGACGAGCTTTTTACTTTTAAAATATCCCTGAAGATGATTTCCGGAGGAAATCGAAATATTGGATGAATAAAAAAAAAGGAAAAATTCAAAAATAAAAACATAGTTTTTTAATGACCTTAAGCCAAGCAATTAACCAAATAAGTAAAAAAAAAACTATATATAAAAACGCATAAAAAGATGCCAATAATGATGTTAATATAGATTTTGTAGTATTTTGTGACATTTCTTTATTATTTTTTCATATTTTTTATCGCATGCTATTTTTTCAATTTGACTTATAATATTGAAGTGTATATTTTGTAATACTTTTTCACCTTACAACACAGGTTGGGGTTATTATATACAGATTGCAATTATCGTCCGATCCTCACGAAAATTTTCACAAGGGTAGGGTTAGGCTCAGAAGGACTAGGCCTATTGTTTTCAAAGAATCCGCAATATATTTAGGGGTTGAAATGGACCAACAACTAAAAATGTTCTTGATTTTGCAGCCTTTATAAAGGTCACAAAAGGACACGAAATCTCGCATGAAGTTAGAGTTTAGGACAGCGTGTAGAATGGACCACTACTTTTGTGTGAAATAAATACCAACATTTCCAATCTACCGAAATGCTGAAAATAACTAACAGGCGAAGTTCAAAATGTACATAAGACGAACTTTTATGTCGATTTCGTTGGCATATATAGCCAAATATCGCAAACAAGCAAATCATATACATGAGTCTAAATTTGGAGATACAGACTGGCCTCTTGCATTTGGAGATCATTGAAAAATATTTAGGGGCTCAAATTAACCAAAAACAGAAACATTTTCCTTATCACACAATTTAGACCAATCGACACGGAATTTTGCCTGAGAAGAGAGTTAAGGACAGCGAATTAGCTGCCAAATGGACCACAACAACTAACAACACGACGAAGTGTGTAAAAATGGGGAAATGTTAAAGGTAAAGGTTAAAGTGAAATCTCGGCAAGGTTTTATGACATAATTTCAAAACGAAATCTTCCAAAATGTTTTTGGACATATTTGGGCTTCTAACATATTGTAGTGTTGTTGGGTATCACATGGTCTGCCGCGCACGACTATAGCCTTTGCTTACCAATTTTTTTAATAAAAGTTGATAGTCGATTATGTAGCTCCATTATTCACTTTTTTTGCTGTAGCCAAGAGTCGATTTTTAGACTTTTCTGCATTAAAATTAATTTAATTATTAATTAATCCAATAATCAAAAGTTGACCTACGAATCATTTTTTCTAGATTATTTAACATTGATTTCAAGTAGATCCTAAGTATAAGTTCATTTATGGAGCGAATATCGAAGAAGTTCTATATTGATTAAAAAATCTCCAGGGACTTCTGAGGACGATTTTTTTCATTGGAAAAAATAATGAATGATTTTTACTTTGGAAAAAATTTTCATAACATATCCCCTAAAATTTAAGGCTTGGAGTCCTGAGGAGATTTTTGTAGATAAATGTCATGTCAAGGGCCTCAGGAAATTTGTTTTTCTGTTCGGTGGAATTACTTTCTTAACCCGTTCAATTATTTCTTTTCAGCTTATCATATCACTGGATCCCATAGGGGCCGATAAAAAAATAAAAGACCAAAATCTCAATGGTATTGGGTAGAGTGAGGGGGTACAAGAAGAACGAAAGTATAATAGTAATTGGTGAATAAAAATAGGTATGAAGATGTCAGATCCTTTAAATAGTTCAAATTAATGCTATTTTGGCATTTTTAGAATTTTAAATTCCCTATAATTTTTGATAAAAGTATGGTGAAGGCGCCCAACCTGGACACTTTTTATTTCACCATATAACAGAGGAATACTTGGATCGAAAAAATGTAGTTGATCTCAGATAGGTCTTAGTCTACGGAGATCCTGAAAAATATCATACGACAAGGAGATGTGATCTTGAAAGGTGGCAAAAATGGTTTTTCTAATTCCTTGGCCACAAACGAAAGGGAAACTCCAATCTTGAATGATATTGCCATTAATGACTTGATATTAAAATTAAAATTGGAGACACCGAGGTCTTAAAATTGTTAACATGATAATTTTGCGTAATTTATGTATTTTAATTATTTACCTTTGATAGATTTGCTAAATTATAGTTATCATATGGATTGCATATCGGTATCATATACCTTGTGGCATATGAGGTCAATAATTACGATTTAAAAAAAGTTTTCAATAATATTTTGCATAAAAACACCTGCGGATATAACGGGTTGGAATATGTTTAATAATTTAGGCCTGTGCCTTCTCTGAGATACTTAATTATATCCTGAAACACTAGGTGTTGGAGATATTATAAGATTTAATTGACCCAAAAATTTTAACTCACCAAGTAGCATGTTGATCTTCCTATCTAGCTGAGCTGGGTCGATTTAGCTATGTGCTTCCATCTATCTTTCCTTTTTAACTTGTAATCACGCTACAGGACGCAATTATGACACGATCCTCATGAAATGGAAGTGGGTTTTCGGTCAGAATAGAAACCGATTGCTTTTGGACATGGTCTCATAATATTTAAGGTTCAAATGAACCACAACAGACATATTTCCCGATTTTGCAGTTGCGACACACGTCGCAATTATAGACCAATCGGCCGGAAATTCGGCAGGTCTGGGCAGAACCCTACCAAATCAAATGGTCATCGAATAATAGTTAGCGGCTAAAATTGACTATAACATTTATGTACAAAATACGAGAATTGTCATTGAATATTCCGAAAATTAGGAAAGCCTTTACATTGATGCTAATATACGAGATATCTCATATATAGTAAACTATATAAATTATATGTAGACCGCTTATAACTCAAGAAAAGCTGGAGAGATTTTCATAATTATCACAAATTCAGAATGGACTCTTGGCA